GCTTTCAAACTCATTTATTTCTTTATTTTGGTACTTTCTGGGCCTTTTTTTTCTTTCCCGTTCTTTTTGGGCCTTTTTTTTTTTTCCCTTTTTTTTTTTTTTTTTTTTTTTTTGCATTTTGGTCCTTTTCAGGAATTTATATTCAAATTTTAAATGCTTTTAATTTTTAAATAAATCTCATTTTCAAAACTTTATTTTGGAAAACTTTATTCCGATATGCATTTTCCTTCCTTTAGGCCTTATTTAAAGATGTGTGTTGGTCTTTTTAACTAACTAATTATCAAGATTTTTATTATTAAATAAACTAAAAATAATAATAACAAGTAATTAAAACTCAAAACACGCATTACTCTCCACATCTATAGTACGTGCAGTTCAACTAATATATATATAACGATCATTTTTGTTCATATATGATGGATAGTATAGAAGTAGAAATACTGGCCGGAAGAAGTCAATGCCCATACATAAACCAGCAAAAATAACTACGGAGAAATATCGGACATGATGTGAACAGTGTTGCAACTTTGGGCCGCCGAAAATTTTCGGGCACGGCGGGCAGGGGCCTCTCGCCGCCCGACCACGGTTTTTTTCGGGTACGGGTTCAGGCAGCCCGAAAATATTCATTCCCCCAACTGCCCGCCGCCGTGGAGAAGTCATCCCCCACCGTCCACCGGAATTTTTTTGAATTTTCTGGCAATACCCGAAGTTGCCCGAATTTGCCCGATTTTTTGTGCCCGTTGCCCGAATTTTGAACAAAAAGGGTCTTTTTTGCCCGAATCCGAATTTTGTCCGACAATTTGAACCCAACGGTCAGATTTCTTACCATTGCCCGACCTGCCCAAATTTTGCCCGAACTGCCCGAAAAATATACTAGCCGTTGGACCCGAATTTTTGGGGGAAAAATTTTTTTTTCAACCCAAAAATTTTCTTATAAATACCCCCCTCCTCCCAACCATTTCCCTCACCCAAAATCTCTCATTCTCTCTCAATTTCTCTTAATCTCTCTTAATCTCTCTCAAATCTCTCTTAATCTCGCTTAAATCTCTCTTGATCTCTCTTAAGCTCTCTCAAAGCGCTCTCAATCTCTCTTATTTTTCATAATGGCTTCTTCTGGCTATGGTGGTGATATTTCCATTGATGCCCAATTCAACATCGAAGAAGGGCAATTTCTTAATGTTTTTCAAACGCAAGAATCGTAAACTATGGAAAGAGTTGCTGATGAAACTGCAAATCCGACCCCTGGTGGACGTACTAAAGGTCGGGAACGTAATGGTGGTGGCACAAGTGGCCGTGGAGGAGAGGCAAGCGGTAGTGCTAGTGCAAGTGTTGCAAGTTCTAAGAAGAAATGCAAGCACACCTCAGCAGTTTAGGAGCACTTTAACACATTCGAGGAGGTCGACAATAACGCTAACATTAAATACGTAGCTCAATGTAAATATTGTGGTGAGAAGTTACAAGGTAACACTATTCACGACACTACACACTTAAGAAGACACTCTGAAAAGTGACTTCAAAAGCTAGGAGGCGGAGCTGATCTCTGCCAAACGTAATTATCGTTTGACCGCCAAACCGGCGGTCTAAGCACGTGAAAATATGATCCGCAAGTTGATCGTATGGAAATGGCATGATTAATAGCCACATTAGATCAAACACTAAGTTTTACTGAACAAAAAAATTGGCAACGTTATATTAAAATTATACAAAATCCTAATGCACAATTTTTTTTTAGAACTACTCTTAGGAAAGATGCATTTAAATTATATAAACAAGAAAATGAAGCATTAATTAACCTTTTACACTCTACTAGCGGTTGCGTTGCGTTAACAGCAGATATTTGGTCCACCATTGTCAACAAGAATTATTTAGCTGCAACCGGACATTATTATAAAGGTTTTGATTTGGATAAGAGAATCTTAAGTTTCAAATGTGTTATAGGATCACATACTGCCGATTTAATATATAACACAATTTTATCTGTTATTGATGAATATAGTTTAAGAGATAGAATAATGGCCATAACATTAGATAATGCAACTGCAAAAACTAAAGCAATAGAACTTTTTGAAAATGATTTAAGTTTTTTGAGTAATAATGATATTTTTCACCAACGTTGTGCATGTCATATAATTAATTTAATAGTAAAGTCCAGTTTAAAATCAATGTCATGTCATATTAAAAGAATTAGAGATAACATTGCTTAGATTCAAAGTAGTAATCAAAAAATACAAGATTGGTTTAGATTTCTACAAGCATGTAATCAAAATCCTAGAGCATTAGCCTTAGATATGCCCATAAGATGGAACTCCACTTACATAATGCTTGAACAATGCATCCCATATAAAGATGCTATAACAAATTATGTTAGTGCAAAATTAGGAACAGGATTTTTAGATGAAACTGATTGGCAAATTGTCGAACTTTTGCATAACTTTTTAGGTAGATTTCACGAAGTTACCTTAAAGCTTAGTAAAACTTATTACCCAACTTCACCATTAGCGTTAGGAGAACTTTTAAGAATGTCTATTTTATTTAGTGAATTTAGGACACACGAGGTTTTAGGAGTTCCTATCGCCTCTATGGAAAAGAAGTTTAAAAAATATTGGTCTAAATTACCCATGTTGTATGGTTTCGGTATTATTTTTTACCCTAGATTAAAATTAGAAGGTTTAGAAAGTGGATTATATAACTTAGGTGAATTTTTAGCTATCGACACTACTGACCAATTTCCTATTATAAAGGAAAAATATATTCTCTATACATCTCTTACGAAAGTAGGTTTAGAAACACACCTCGTGTTGAACAACCGCAACAACGAGACGACAATCCGCATTCATTCTTGAATGTTTTCGGGTTGTCTAAGAAGAAGAAGATGATGACGACGACGACTCAAGGTCAAGAAGAATCTGAGAGTGGATCTTCATCAAGAGGTGGCGGCGGATTCAATGAGTTAATGGCGTACCTGAGTGAGGGCTTAGTTATAGACAGTAGTGACATGTTTGATTTGGTTGAGTGGTGGAGGGCACGAGCATTAACTTGACCGATCCTAACACGACTGGCAATGGATATTTTTTCGATCCCGGTCTCCACTGTTGCAGCCGAACAAGCATTCAGTACAACCGGCCGAATACTTGAAGAACGGAGAAACGCATTGCAGCAGGATATTGTTGAAGCTTTGGTATGCATCAAGGATTGGGATTGTTCTGACCAACGCTTATACGATACAATCTCACCGGCAAACCAAGAATAGATTAACGAATTTAATAGATTACCTTTTAATTTTCAAGACGATCCTTCTGGTTCAAATTAAATTTTATTATTCTAATTTGTAAATATTTATTTACTTTGTAATTTCTAATTTGTATAGTATTTATTGTAATCTTGTATAGACTTTGTAAGTTCGTCAAATTTGTAATTCGTCCCACAATGATTGTACTCTTTTTTCCTTACCAAGTTTTTATCCCAATTGGATTTTTCTTGGTAAAGTTTTTAACGAGGCAATCATGAATTATAAATTTAAAAATCAATGAAGAAGTAATTTTTTTATATAGTTCGTGTGTTCATTTCAAATTTCAAATTGTAATATACACATTGTAATTATACAAATACTTATACAACATAAAAATATAATATAAAAAAAATTTAAAATTCGGGCAGCCGGTCGGGCAGCCCGATGCCCGACCGGGCACGGGCAGGCACCTCCTATCCGAAGCCCGTCTATGGGCAATTTTCGGGTCGGGTCGGGCAGCCCAAATTTTTGGACAGTTCGGATTTGGTACTCGAACAAAAATTATGACTTTTCAGTTATCACGGGCGGCCCGTCTAAAATTTCAACACTAAATGTGAATATGAATCAAATAATAAGTTGAGAGCTTCTCAAAACCAACGCTCATAATTAATTAATGGGCCAGGACCATGCAAATTAGGACATGGTGATATTGACGTACGTCGACTAATTAATAATACGATTGTGAAAATTAATGCAGAAATTAATAATTTGAGAAGTTTACATAAATCTCCAATAGTTTGATTTTGAAAAGTCCGTATATGTGAAGCGGACATGTTGGATAGTGAATTGGCGTTGGATATTTGCTTTGCTTTTCGTACCCTAGCTTGTTTCGTCTTTTGTATCGTTTTCAATCTTGTAAATTTTATAGCTGTTTAAATTTACAATTAGAAAAAGTGTGATTTTTGACACATTAATTGTGTCAGTAAGTATTCAAAGGCGTCAGCAAATTAACTTTCTAACACCGCTATAGCATCGCTAAGTGCGTTGCTAATTTAACGTAGTTTAATACACTTAGTGAGGTGATCAATGTGTCACTGAGTTAGAGAAATTACCTACTCTCTATTGTGGCATCAGTAAATTATAGTAAAAAGTTCTCAGAAACAGTCACATTTAATTTTTTTATTACAGTAAAAAACTCTCATATAAAATCACATCTAAATTCAAATTAAAAACTCAAATCAACAAACTATACGGATCCTAAATGTTCCAATAGTCCTAATATCAATTATCCGTCTCTCATCAATCATTAAAAAAAATAAACGAAAATGTATTCGCATATGTTATTGTAAGTACACAAAATTGCATCAGGAAACCTTTATTATTATTTTTTTTCTTTCTTTCAATTCTCAGTTCCCACCATCAAATTTAGATTTGGAAGACATAAAAAAATTATCAACACATCCGAATTAGGTTCACATTCACTAAAATTTATCCTGTTTCCCCGCATTCCACTTTAAATATTTTAAAAGAAACAAAATCAATATAAAATAGAAAGAGTAATCCTCATAAATATCTCTTAAAAGTATACGAATCCTGATTTTTATCTTTTATTCTTGATTTGTAATCTTTTTAATTAAATAATTAAATTAATAAATAAATATTTATCAAAAATAAAAAATAAATATCTAAATTCATGCACACTAAAAAATAAATTCTCCATTAGATAGGCCCAAAGGCTCACAGCAAAACGTCGAAACAAAAAACTACAAAAGAAAAGTAACAGATCAACGTCTTATAAATGAAAGCTTTAATTATGACAAAACGTTCTACAGTACAGTCGGACAAATAAATGTTTGGTCACCGTATATGGAGCCTAACGAAGAATATTTAGTATCCATTTTCAGAAAAAAAAAAAAAAAAAAAAATGTTTAGTATCCTATCACATGTGTATATCTTCGGTTCGTTTATTGTGCAACACTTAAGTTAATTCTTTAAATAATAAAGAAAGAAAGATGTATTAAGATTAATGCAGCCATTTGCTCTTCTGCGGATCTTAGTATGGAGTTCAAGAACTATGATGTGACATGAAAGTAGAACTGTCACTTATGGTCACGGATTCCGTATTGATCTGGTAGAGATCTTGGCCTGAAATGGTCAAGGATTCAGGATTTATAGGGTAGAGATCATGTGCAGAAGTACTTGTGGAAGGTTCGGTTTGTAATGCGTCCGAATTAGAATTTTTGCCCTGTTTTTCTGCTTCATTGTTCTTCTTCTGAACTTGTTGGTGGTAAGCTTTGAGTGGTTTAAATCTCAAATCATTTCCATACTCATCACCATAAATTCCAGGATCCGAGATCAGTTCCTTAACTACGGTATTTCCTTCGAGCATGCTGACCACTTCCGACATCGTAGGCCTTAGCGCTGGAGAGGCATTTGTGCACAAAAGGGCAATTTTGATTATTCTTTTGGCCTCTTCCTCGTTGAATTCACTTCCCAATTTTTCGTCCATTATCTGCAACAAGTCTCCTTTCTTTTGCAAAACAAAAGCCTGCAAGAGAATAATGAACTAATTATCAAAGACTAGACGCACCAAAATTACAAGCATTATATGCACATCTACATATATATGGACAGCCTTGAAATCATGCAGGAACATTAGAAACAGACATTCTCCTAACTTACATAATCAAGAAGGCAAACACAATTATTTTGAGGTCTGTAGCTTGTATTGCATTTCCCACTAACAATTTCTAATGCGACCACTCCAAAGCTGTATACATCTGCTTTTTCGGTGAGATAACCCCATAGTGCGTACTCTGGAGCCATATATCCTCTAACAAGAGAAGCAAATAGATCAGGATCCGAATAGTAGGGAAGTTACTTATTGGAGGCATTGTGCATTAAGATGTAAGAACTTATGAAGACATCTGACTCACATAGTTCCAGCAACGCGAGTGCTAATATGCGTGTTTTCCTCTTCGTGAAGTTTAGCCAAACCGAAGTCCGATATCTTAGGATTAAGATCCCTATCAAGCAGCACATTTGTGGCCTTGATGTCTCTATGAACAATCTTGAGAACCGACCCTTCATGAAGAAAGCAAATACCTTTGGCTATTCCAACACAAATGTTGAGCCTTGTTGTCCAATCCAGTTTCAGACCACTTGTTCCTGCACCATGATCAGATGACAAGGTGATATTCCGTGATCGGAAGAAGTTTGCCAATGTCAATAAAACACAATCTTGTGGGTGTCTTTTGCACATTGTCTTAAATTGTGTTATACCATGTTAGTGTTACTGTTCGATAGCATTTTAGTACCGGCATTTCATATAATGTACAATACAGAAGGAAGGCTAAATGATAACAAGTTTACCAAAAAGAGCATGGCCGAGGGAATTGTTTTCCATGTACTCGTATACCAGCAGTAATTGGTTTCCTTCGATACAACATCCGTAAAGCTTCACAAGATTAGGATGTTCTAAACCGGATATCATGCCTATCTCAGTCACGAATTCACGATTTCCTTGCTTCGATCTCGAAGACAGTTGCTTCACTGCAATAACTGTACCATCTACTAATTTGCCCTGCATTGGCATTAATACACTTTTTTAATTTACATATTCTTGAAATTGACAGGGAAAGCTCAACATGTAACAGGGAAAACCGATCTATAATTAGTCAATCATACCTTGTAAACAATTCCAAAACCACCTTCTCCAATCTTGTTTTCAGGATCAAAATTGTTAGTGGCAGCTCTTAGTTTCCTCAAAGTGAAGGAACCCTTTATTAGCTCTAGCCCAGTAAGGTCTGACAATGGAATCGGAGCAATAAATAGGATTTTATATATTTTGTTAATGTGAATCAAAAGACTCGAAATGTGACCAGACACATGCAAATTAACTTTGGATATATGCAACTTCACATTCTAAAAGTGAATCTTCGATCACAAACCTGATCTTTCTCTTCTATATTTGTGCAGATAATAATTTCTCCAAGTGATTAGACCGACGAGGAAGAAGATTAAGCATACGACTGAAGTCACAACACCTATCACAATAGATGCTCTACTTTTTGCTTCAGGTACTGCATGCAAATACCCAGAAATTATCACCGTATAATATATTTACATTATGAAACTGAAATGTAAAATGACTAAGATATATATTTCTGTCAGAATTCTTCACCTTCACAATGATCTTTGGAACCTGAAAAGTAGAAAAGCACAAAAATAAATTATGATCAATAGTAAAACGAGAATCAAAATTTCCTATATAGGGTTCAAATGCAACTAATGACAAAGTGCGTTGGACCAAAGATATTGCTCGTTCTATGTTGAAATTTTTCTCGCTATTATATTAGAGTAGAAAGGAAGAACAGACATAACTTTTTTAGTGGATCAAAATGACTTACTGTGACACACAGAAATAGCAGATATAAGAGGACCATAATGTCCCCTTTTAGGAATGCACGTAGTTCCTTTCCCGGCCCAATACAAGCGGATCTCAAGGGTGTGGTCCGTCACATTCACATTACTAAAGGTTTTTACAACAGGTTCACCAGTCCTATTGGCTTTATCATTTATATTGAAATCTTTTATCTCTCTCTTTCCCTGCAAAAAATTGTTTCAGTTCAAGAGTGCTTACATCAAAACGTCTTAAGAATTAGACGCCTATTAGAGAACGATAAAATCGCAAAAAAAAAAAGAAAAAAAAAAAAAAACAAAAAAAAAAAAAAAAAAAAAAAAAAAACCAAAAAGTAAGAACACATAAGATTTTTAATAATTCATCATTAATACGAGAGTTACGTCTACTTTCAACAGTTATAAAAATTAACTATGATGAGGATGTTTACAAATGAAAATCACACACCTTACATTTTTTAACTCTGACGTTTCCCTGACCCCCTCTAATATTTAACCCTAAAATCTGTGCCAGCTTTATATAAGAGAAATTAGGGCATCCGAAATTACTAGCGTGAATTAAGGTCAATCCGCATATTGTCTCTAGGCAAGTATTGTCAAAGCAACAATATTTGAGCTCCACAACTTAACAAAACATACTAGCTAGCAACTTTCCTTTCCTTTTAAATCCACAAGATTGTTAGCGTTCCAGTAGTTTCCTGGATACGATCACTCAGTAGGAAACTTATAGGGCACAATGTTACTTCCCATTAGTGCCTCGTGGTCGGACTACTCGTGAGTTATGTGTGTCCTTTACTTCTATGTATTTATATATATATATATATATATATATAAACATCTATTTCTTTTATATTTACTTTCATTAAGAGTGAGTATTACTACATATATATATATATATATATCCAAATTAATACCTAAATATATACGTCGAATACGCGTCTCGCATGGCTGTTATATTCAGTGTCATCCGTGACTGTGTATATAATCTCTGCAAAATGAAGTGACACTTTGTAAACTCCATTTTGTAGGCAAAATCCGTAGTAGGTGAGAGACTGGGGAGATCTTCTAGCTGTAGAGTACAAGGGTCCAAAATCCCCTTTATACTCAATACTGCTTTTGAAACGATATTGATCGTCTCCTTCCATATCGTTGTCCATGGACTCTCCTGTGTTGCTAAATCCCCAGTATGTTTGAATGAAGTCCATTGCAGCAGTGTCTTTATCATTGACGTTGTCACCTTCATATAAAAGCCTACCACTGCCAGTTTTAATGGTTTCATTGCCCCCGCCACAGTTAATGTGAAGCGATTGACGATCTGTCACATGTCATGCGTGCATATTTTTAATTTGTTATTCCACCAATTAGCCTAAAATCATTTGCCTTTTTTATGCTCAAATGGAGCCATCTATTATTAAAGTAAAAACATAAGAGAGTTGAAAAAATTTTCGAAGTATTTTTTTAGTTGCCATTTATTATTGATTGAGTGCATAGTTTTATTATTATTTCTTTCATTAAACAAGCTATAAATATAAATTTCTATAAATATTACATGGAAAAGTTCAAATTTTAAAATGTTAATTAAAAGGGACATGGTCATGTCATGAAAAAAGTTAATTAATTAATTTCATAAAAAGACTTTAGAGTCGTTAAATTCAATTTTAAATCTTGTAAAATCTTATTATTTCCGTGCAATTTATAGATATATATATATATATATATGTGTGTGTGTGTGTGTGTGTGTGTGTTTGTGTGTATGTTGACAGAAGAATTTTTCATACTGCTTTTTTTTCTAATTAATTTTATGTTTTATTCTAAGTAATATTGTATTCTTATGTTTATCTGATTTTCTTCTTGTTTTTCCATATGTATACCAATGAATATAATAAATCGTCATTTTTTATAGGTTACTTGATACTTGATAATTTTAATCTTCGTTTCTTCACATATAAGTTGCTTATTTGCTGTTATATTCTTACTTTTGTTTATTTGCTTTTGCTTTTGCTGTTATTTTTCTTAATTTTTTTAGGCTCTTTTGTTTTAGTTTTCTAACGTCTTTTTTATTTTTTCCTTTTTAATAAAATGTTTCCTTTTTAAAAATATATAATACATATAAATCAAAGAATGACAACTTATTTGGCACATTAATTAGGAGTTAAAAGGTAAGATGTTTAGACGCATATTACTATTACTATAACTATCACATCTATCTCTATATTTTCTATAAATTGAGCTCACATATTCCCCTTTTTTTTAATTAGTATTTCTTGTCTCATTAGCCATTATGGTTGGTTTCAGATTTTTTTTTTTTTTTTTTTTTTTTTTTTTTCCTTTTTTTTTTTTTTAAAATAAATAAATTCGAATGGAGGATTTACTCTGCTCGACTTTTATTTATAAGGAAATAAAATTGATCATGTTCCCCTTTAGATCGATATAATTGCACGAGAAGCACAAATACTCATGTGTGTGTCTGCGTGTGTAGCAAGAACAATACTTACATTTTGAACAATTGGTCGGTCTATCTGAGCATGGAAGTACTTTTCTGTCGTTTAACATCAAGAATAGCAAACGTGTGAATTAATAACACCGTATACATACACACACGCACAAATATGTGTACGTAGAAGATTCGTATGCTAGTAACAGGACGAGATATAGGACTATCTACAATGTAGATGCATACTAATGTTAATTGTATATATAGTATTAAAAAGTATAATATAGTATGTCATTTTTATTTTTGTTCCAATATAAATGTTAAATTTATTTTCTCATAATCATTTTTGAAAGTTGTAAAAATAACTCTTATTAATTAGAAAATATAAAAGTTGCATTGATTACATGAAAAAGTAAATATTTAAATAAATAGAAATCAAATGTCAAATTATCCATTTGCTATACTTAGTGAGAAATTTGTCACAAAGTATAGTAATAGGAAATTTAACACAATAAATAGCATTGTATCATATAGTGTTTGTTGTACTCAAATATTAAATTTGTAATTGGCACATTAATTATAACATTATATTTGAGAGGCTCTAATAGACCACAAAATAAGGAGAATGATATATATATATTGAGGAACTTTGATATGTGTTTACAGACCTGACGGTACAGTTTTAAGAAAGAAGAAAGGGAAACAAATTCTAAATTAGCTACACGCAAGAAGGATAATATATAGTAATGAACTATCATAAGACTATTCAGTTTCTCACCCATATCTACTCTGCTTATAACAGTTGTCAGTTGACCAGTTAAAATTGTTGTAGGAAAGATCACTGCAGAGAATTATCAATAAAAAGTACAAGTAAAAAGTCTATTGGCATTGACATTCGCTGAAGATGGTTTAAAATCAGTTAAATTTTGACATTAATGATACCATAAATATGGTTAATACTCATGAAAATGAGTATAGAAACTTAAAATATGTAGGAATATAATGAGTCGGAGAAAATTTAGCTATGATGGAAATTATTAATATTCATCTTATATATAAATATACACATATATGTATATATGTATATATGGATATATGTATCAAGGAGATTAAGGAGACCCTTCACTTGATACATAAAACTTTGTAGAACATGTCTAAAAAGTAAGTTAAAGAAGAAACATTTTGTGGAACACAAAAAGGATTCAAATCACTTGTTTAATTTTAGTGTCTAAAAATATTGTCGAATTAATCAGAGTATGCCACATTATTTAAAAATTTTAAGTAAAAATTAATTTTTTTCTTACTTTAATATAAAAATATATTAAATAACATGTCATAATATTATCAGTTATACACCAATTAAGACATTAAAAATTAAACAGATGATTTGAGCCTAAAAAAATAACACTTCCATATTGCCTTCATTCTTCCTTTTGATGTCATACATGTCATTTCAATTATAATATTTTAAATTACGTGACATTTTAGCTGATGTACTGACACAATATTTTAGGGTATGTTTATTTCATATACTCGAACTCAAATCATTTATTCTACTATAGCATTTTCTTCACACACAAAATTTAAATTTCAAACGTCAGAATCAAAAATCATAATTTGAGTATACATTTTAAATGGACCCTTAATTAATATGATATTTTAATTGGCCAACTGGTGTTAGTCCAGTTGATAAGGGTGAGGCAGGTTAAAGAGAGACGCCATACTTAATCTTATAAAAACAGCTATCTCGTAAATATATAATCATAAAAACATGAGTCGAATCCCACCAAAAGCACGTCGTCTAAGTTCGAAACGTACACAAAATATTTGTCACCATAAACGAGGAATAAGTCTGGTATACTTCCACTTAGCTTGTTGCCACCCAAAAATCTGACAATAACATGGGAAATTAAAGTTTAACATTGTCCTCTTCTATTCAACCCAAAAAAATAAAATATATATATATATATAGTTTCACATTGGCTCTAAATGACCAGAATGTAAGGGAATAAAGAAATATTAAACTCTCCCTCTCTAAGAAATGTAAGAAACTTGGATTAAATTGTTCCAATCGGTATGCTTACGTAAATTTCAGTGGGGTGGTTACATTGTCAGGTAGTTCTCCTTCGAGATTATTGAAACTCAAGTCTCTGGGAAAATTTAACAATCACAAAACATTAACTTTTAATCGTTAAAAATATTATATAGAAAAGAATTTATATCACCTGGAATCTTGTCTAACCAACCAAAGATCAGGTGACCAGAACTAGATGAATATTAATGTAAACATGAAGAAAGAACGCGTAAACTCGTGTGAATAATCTGCTATTAATATTCTCCATTATTAGGAGCTCTCTAATTAATTAAGATCCAATTAATTAGTACCAATTCAACCACTTCAGTGGATCATATTATTGTAATAGCTTGTGGCTGCCTTCCTAAAAATAGATAACCGTTGTATTAGCTGGAAGTTAATCGTTATCTACAGATCCTGACTCTAAGGTCATATATTATACAGACAGTTTTTTTTTTTTTCCTCATCAACATATGGAACTATTTTGTCCATGGATATAATTAATTAGGAAGTTAGATCATTTGCAAATATTCCTCTTGGATTTTTTTTTTCTTTTTTGAAATTGTAGGGGTTATGTTTGGGGAAGGAAGTTCAAGTAGCTAGGTGGTTATTAATTCATGTCCTTATAATGATACATTATCTAGATATATAGTAATACTATATATATTTTTGTGAATAAATTGAAAGGAGACAATTAGTATTATAGTGAAACTAATACATAATAATTTGGCACCCATTAAAATACCAATTCCCTTCCAAAGCTTCCTAGTACTCTGATGTCTGTCTTGCAATATTTTTCAGTGAAAATATATATTTACATATATATATATATATTTACTGATCTTTTGCAATATGATGTGTACCTCTAATTCCATTTTCTTTTCTTTTGTATTAGTCTTTTGTTCTTTTTTTTTTTTTTGCTTCTATATATTTTGTTAGTTTAAATGGATTGTCTCCCTCTTGCAATGTTAAATCAAAATACCAACAAAAAATACATACACACACATTGAAACTTAAAAGTTTTCCACGCCCATAATAGTTAGTAGGTAAATTTTATGAATCTCCCCGGACTATGTTATTTATGCCAACATGTATCCCGAATTTTGAAATGTATCTCTTTTGTTTCTTGATGTATAATATACATCTCCAAATTTAACTTCTAAACTTTAAAATATTTTTTTAGACATGACTGACACAGGCGATATACGCGAAGAGGTATAATTTATCATTTTCCTAAAAAGATTATTTTCATAAATACCCCGTTAAAGTATGTACCTTTTTCAAAGTGTTCCTGATTTTTTAAAACCATTCAAAACACCACATGATATATAGAAAATCATTCAAAATACATTTTCTTTCTACTTCTGTGTGTAATTTAGACGGATGTGATAATGTGGCATTGCCACTAAAGGCTTAAAAAAATTATGAAAAAATACTAATAGAAAACTAATACCCTAGTTAATATCACCCTTTGATCTAATACATCTAATCTCAGCCCCTATTTAAATTTATATTGAAATTAAAATAATAAAAAAAAACCCCTAGATTTGATTAAGCTTATAATTCTATAGCCGCCCCTATCACACATTCCCACCCCTCGCCAGCGCCCCATCCTAAGCCAGCTAGCTCTATCACGGACCGACAAACATGTGAGCGCCGGAGCGTCATTGTGACAATCGAGACAGCCACAACTCCTTGAGCTCTCTGACGTTAGTGTGTCACCAACGACAACGACATCCTATTTTGTAGAGAGATAAGAGGAAGAGGGAGAAGAGGACGAAAGAGAGAAAAATAGAATTTTGTTTTTTCAAATAATTTTTTTTTATTATTAGTCATCTTGATATATTTAATTAGAACTTGATGGCTTTAATTAATTTTTAATACATGACATGTCAACAAAACATCATTTATCATTAACAACATGCCACGTCAATAATTATGTTAGAATAATAGACAGGGTGGATGAAGAATGGCGTCTTAAATGATCTTTTAATTTTTATACTTTGAAGATGTTTTGAACTGTTTTATAAAATCGAGAGCACTCTGAAAAAGAGTCCATATTTTAAGAGTCATTTATAAAAATAATTCTTCTTAAAACTGTCAACTAATTCAATTGAATTCTAGTGTTCTACTTTTTTTTCCTTCTTGTTTTCTTGCTTTTGAATAACTGTTCTTAGGAGAATATATCTAAGAGTTAGCGCCTAACTAATTTTTTGGAGGGAATAGCATGCATTAACTCCTAAATTAAGACAACTCTACCATTCAATCCAAAAACTAACACGTTTCAAAGTTTATGAGGAATAAATTAAAGACGAGTTATAAATGATTAAGGGGTTTTAAAGTTTGAGAGACGTGTTAACACAAGTGAAATAATTTAGAGCAATTTGTAAAATTTATCCCAGTTAATATTATACACAATTTTAAAGCAACGTAACAACTCTAATAAAAACTTACAGCATCTCACGATCATCATCTTTGTCATCATCGGTGTCCTTTTGCCAGATATCAAATGGGATTGGTCCAGATAAATTCAAGTTTCTCAAAATCCTGAAGACAGATTCAATATTTCCTCATTAAATTCTTTGGAGCACATAATTTGAAGTAAATATTAAAAAATAATAATAAACATTTTTTTTTTAAAAATTTGTATGCTACATACAAGTGTTCTATTTTCTTAGTGTTGTTAAATGTAGGAAAAGCATTCACTCCCTCCATATCAGTTATCCTCCTACCAAAAAAATAAACAATAATAATAATAATAATAATAAATAAAACATTAAAGGACAAATCAGTTCTCATCACTCCTTTAATTCACATGGTAATAAAGCTAGTTCAACAAAGTTTAATTTACTCACACATCCTTTAACTTTGGTAAATTGAGAAAGATGTCAGCAGGGATCGGTCCCTTCATTCCGGTTGCAGTCATTTCCCTTCATTTTATTGTAATAATGCAACAAATTAGATATGAAAGTGCTAATTATTAATTTTAGGATTAATCAGGTATATCATTGAGAAATATCTTACAATCTTCCGAGCTCAGTCAATTTTCCAATAAATTCTGGTATACTACCTTCAAAATTATTATCATTTATCCTCCTGCCCATGTAGCCAAGGATAAACAATATCAATGTATCTTAAAACATGCAAGACGATTAAATATGCATTAGATAATTCAATCAGAGCTTTACAGATTCTTCAACTTCTTCAGGTTAACAAGTGTCTTCGGCAACGATCCCACAAATTTATTGGAGGAGAGTATCCTAATAATATATGAAATTCAGTGCACAAAGTTACCAACCGAGTTCTAATAAACTTATTCATGAAGAAACTATAAAGGTACTCTTATATATATATATATATATAGATACACACATATATATGACTTACAAATCTGTTAGGTTGACCAATTTCCCAAGCTCTTCAGGGACAGTACCAGAGAAATTATTGGCTTCTAGGCTTCTGCAAATTGATAATCAGTTTCAAGTGAATGGCAATAAAGATAAAAGCCAAAAACAAAGAAAACTTGAGGTACGATAATTTTATCAATCGAAGCATTACAAGTAAGCGAGATTAGTGAAGTTTCCCCACTCCTTTGGAATTTCTCCCGATAAGAGATTGGCAGTAAGAGAACTGCATACATTTAACAGAAAAAAAAATTGTGAGAGAGAAGGGCAAAGAAAGTTCGAAGGGTTAGCTCCTACTACACTAAATATATATGGATTAATTTTATAAATGCGCCCTGAATTTCAAAAAGGATTTATTTTATCCCATTAATAATGTATTCTAATTCAAGGTACTCCACATATTTAAAACTAATAATGTGATGATGTGATACTATTTATATTTTTAAAAATGTCCCTCAAACTATTAATTTTAAGCCAACTTATCTCTTAAATTATTATACTTGTGTCAACTTTTTCTCAATTTTTTAAAAGATTAGGAAAAAACTTGACAAAAAATTAATAACTCATGGGGTATTTATGAAAGAAGAGATGCTTTGAATCACTTTTCAAATTTCAATGAGCAAAATAACCCTTTTTAAAATTCAGAAGCATGAGACATTTATAAAATTAATCCTATATACACACACATAATTGAACAAGAACCATATAATTTTGCTTACATGTAACTCAAGTTTTTCAATCTAGTCCACTCTGTTGGAAGCGAGCCATAAAGGTTGTTGCGGGTCAGATCACTGCAAAAAATAATAATAATAAATAAATAAATAATAAAAAAGGCGCTTAAATCCTCGTGAAAGGGGGCAATACTACGAGGTCAAAGAATCTTATAGTACACTCCAATTAATTAGTGGCATCCGGTGAGATGGGTGATTGAGAGAAATAGGTATAACTAGAGGGATAATAAAAATAAATAGGTAAGGTTAAAGAATTTTAGTACATTTCAATTAAGGTTTATAATTAGTTAGTAAATAATTTTAATAGGTCATTTACACTAAATTAATATTTCAAAAATGCTCGTAATTAGAAAAGGAAATGAAATTTTAAAATTTATTTTGGCTCTCTCTATCTCTTCGCTCTTTGCACTATAAATCTAAAAATTTATAAATAAACACAATATGTGATCTAATAATTTACCATGTAAATTTAAGATTTACGAAAAAACAGAAATTGTGTTCTGATAGAAAATCCTAGATTTACATTATAAATCCATGATTTACTAAGAAACACAATCTATATTTTGATGGTAAATCATAAATTTACACTGTAAATTTTAAATTTACGGCTGGCGATGAGAGAGAGAAAAGTAAATTCACAAATGACAGATAGAGAGAAAAGAGAGAAAATGTGATCTAAAGAGAAAGAGAAAAAAAAATGATAAAATTGAAAATTTCAAAATTCAAAACATAAAAAACCTATTAATTTTTATACATGGTAAATTGGTTGTTTACTAGCATAAATTTTAAATAGAGTACAATTTCTCCACTGAAATTTCTACCCTATGTAAAGCCCGCTCCACTAATATTCTTACAATTGAACAAAAATAATATAAAATCCATAATAAGCCATCCAAAAAACCAATTAGCTTGGTGTGCATTTAGTTCATTGGTTTAAACACTCATGAATTGCAGTGTACATCAACCAGTGATTCAAATGGGTGTTTGGAAACAAAAGTAGGAATGCTACTCGGACTTTAAAGTGCAATTCCAATTGGAGAATCCCAAATCCACCTTTTACAATTTGAAAATTTCAGACTATTTAGGCATTGTTCATTTCAACGATTTGAGTTTTCAGTTTTATGTTTTTACAGTAAAAAACACTCAGAAAATGTCACATTTAACTTTTTCTGCTACAGTGAAACGCTCTAAAAAAATGTCACATCTCAATTCGAATTGAAAACTCGAATCTCACATACTCTTGTTTTCAACTTGTATTTACGGACATCAATTTTGATTACACTTCATATTTTACAGTTCAAATTAAAAAGATTGATTCAAACTTGCAAACGAAACAGAGCTAAATGGGGCCTTAGCAGAAAAAAAAAAAAAAAAAAAAAAAAAAAAAAAAAAAAAAAAAAACTATAAACTAAGTGGGGAGGACTTTCCAAAAGATCAAGCCGAGACCAATAACCCATTTGTCTCACTAAAAAACTTCAGAAGAAATTTAAAAGGAAGTACAGAACCACTCACGTGGTCTAGCGTAGCAGTACTTTGATGGAAAATAGTTAGAAGAGTAATGCATTCATGAAAAACGGTCTTACAGCTTTCCAAGATGTTTGAGGTTGGCAATTTCGCTTGGAATCCTGCCTTTTAGACTAAAGCCTTTCAGAGATCTGTTGAGCAAGAAGAACATTATACACACACACACACACTTGTATTATATATAGATAGATAGATCATTTCAATGTATATGAGTTCCTAGTAAATTAATCAAATAGTACTCTAAAACTGATCATTATTAGATGGGCTCACCTTTTTTTTCCCCCTTTTCAAATGAGCATATAGTAAGAGGAATCAAAATGGATTCCCAAATTAGCGATTTAATTATGAATTCACATACATATATAAAAGAAGTTCTACCAAATGAACTGGAGGGAAAAAAAGGTTCGAAAATGCTCATAAATCCATCAACAGAATTAAAAACGAAAAACATAAATATATAAAAAGATTTTTGTTCAAAATATATAGTAGAAAAAAAAATGCCTCATTAAAACCCTCAAATAATAAAACTCAATCGAAAAAAATATATCTTATTATGAAAAAAAAAAAAAAAAAGAAATACATGATCTCCAAGAAACAACAAGTGAATGTCTGACTTTGATCTTCACTAATTGGTAAAGAAACTAATTGCAATATATATATATATATATATATATATATTGCCACAGTGCCAAACAGAGATCTAGTAGGAAGTAATATATAATAAATCATCATGCTAACCTTTGTTCTTCATTAATTGTACCGAAAAATATTGCAATGTAAGGTTAATACATATAAATTAATGAGATAAAATCATAGTATCATGTATTATACGAAATATATTTTTAATACTCTGTGTTAAACGATATTTTGACGTTTTAAAAAATATTGTTTTTTATGCTCTAGTACTCATTTTTGAGACATAAAATATCATTTTTACCCTCTTATTAATTAAATATAAATTAATATTTTTTTTTATCTAATTTGAAACATTTAAAAACTTAAGAAAAAGAAAATTATAAAAGGTCCTTTTTTCCCTAAGAACACAGAAGTCGATCTGAGAATGCGCCGCCGACCCACCATCATCGGAACCTAGTGCCTGGATTCCGCCGACCAACCCTTCTAATCGTCCCTCCCCTCACGGCCCATCCTCAGCATACCCTCTGTCCCCCGCAACCCGCCCACATCGTGCCCAACTCATGCTGGCTCTCACCACCGTCGCTGCTGTCACCACCTCATGCTGGCTCCGTCGGTGCCGTCCCAGCCCCTCCCCTCGCCAGCGCATCTGACCCACAAAGAAATGGGTCTCAAGAATCGAACAATCTAAAAAAAAAAAAAAGAAACATGTTTGTCGTGGGGTTACTCGTGGATCTTGGCGGAACTAGTGCATGGTTTGGGCTGGGCAAGACTGGCGGATTGAATCTTAGCGGTGAGGTTGGGCCTGAGTCTGAGTGGAGGCATTGGATGGGATTGAGCAGAACAGCGAGACGGGGCATGGACTGAACAGTAAGGTGTAGATCTGAAGGGAGGGAATGGATCTGGGTTGTGCGGCTGGGTAGATCTGGGTTGTGCGGCTGTCAAACTGGTATCTTGTGGGGGATGAACGAAAGTAAAAACTTATAATGATAAACAAAGAACAGTCATTGTCCCATTTGTCTTGCTGAAGTTTTGAGCTTCAATTTGATCTGCGTTGTTGAAGTTTGTGTTGATTTCAGTTTTTCTTCATCTGGATTGAGGTAGAAGAAGTAAGAATAGGTTATTGCATTTAATTTTTTTTTTATCTACCCATTTTTATAATATTTAAATCTTTTATAATATTTTCAGAATTTTCTTAAAATTTATTAATTTTTTATTAATTAAATAAAGAGTAAAAAGGATATTTTATGTCTTAAAAATCAATTTGGGATACTAAAAAAAATGTTTTTCATAACGTTAGATTACACAAGATACATGTTCTTTTGGCGTTTTTGAGTTAGGTAACTTGAGTGTAAATTTTGAATTGAGTTTGAGTTATGACTTGAGTTGTAGTTGTAGTTATAACTTGAGTTTGTATTTAGTTGTGTATATTTGAGTTATGGTTTGAGATAAGAATATTTTTTAGTTTGTGTTTGAATGAGTCAAAACTTGAAGTTAAATTTATATAGTATTTTAATCAAAACTCAATGCTGATGAAAAATTTTAATACAATATATAGGTGAAGTTTTATTCGTCTTTTCGTTGTGAACGCATAGAAAAAAAATCATCTCAATCAGAATTAAAACGAAAAAGTTATAACATTTTTAAGAATAGAAAAAATATTGTTCATTAATTTGAGTTCGAGTTTCTGAACTCGAGTTGAATGGGAAACTTTAATCGAGTTTTAGTCTCAAACTCGAGTTCAAACTTAAAAGAATACGAACTTAAATAAAATTGTAACTCAAATTGCTTTTTTTGAGTTTTTGACTCAAAAAAGAGGCTGCCGAACAGTCCCTTAATATTTTAAAAAACACAGGATATAAAAGCATGTTTACTTAGAATAAAGATACTAAAATTATTTTATCCCTAAATTAATTAAGAGAAGGTTAGACGTACAACACCGTGATATGGCAGTAAGTGTCGAGGCAGGTACACTCAATGGTGCTGTTCGTCTCGGGTCTCTTGAAGTCACAAGTATTGTTGCTTTCAAACTTCAAGTCAGATCCGGCGGCCTCCATTGTAGCGGCAACTTGCTGGAGAGTTTTCACTGCAAATTAATTAATTTTTAATGAGACGTGTTAATTAGATAGATATTGTTTTTAATGCAACGAATACTCAAACATCTTTAGGGTCCGTTTAGTTCTCTGATTCGAGTTTTTAATTCAAATTGAGATGTGATTTTATGTTAGAGCTTTTTACTGTAGCAAAAAAGTTAGATGTGATTATTTGTGAGAGCTTTTTACTGTAGCAAAACTCAAATTCTAAACTCGAATCAGCGAAATGAACGGAGCCTTAGTTCTCCGGCACTACGCTTTTGTTATTTAACCTTACGCAGTCATTAAAAAAGTGCAACACTACTAAGAAATTTAGTTAGCTTAACTTATTGTTAAGTACCTTTAATTTAGTCATTTGACCGTAATGTGAATGTTAGAAATGTGTAACAATAGTCGGATAACTAAATTTCTTTGTGTCGTATTAGACGTAAGTGTGTTATGTCAGATAAATATCATGTTATATATGTTTCGTATTTCTACATGATATGTTGTTATATTTTAAAAAAAAAAATGTAATTGGATAGAATATATCTAGCATCTTATTAACTTTATGTATGGCAATACGTGTACCAATTTTCGTTCTTCATCACTCTCAAGACAAAACGAAATCACGGAAAGTTTTGTGGCTGTTAATAAATAAAAGGGTCATAAACGTGAGGGTCATAGTCTTACTCCCGATCGACAATGGAATAATTGGAAGACGACAAAATTGAAAATTCTTTGAAGACTGCCTTTGCCATTTTTTTTTCTAGCTCTCCTATCTATTTGCATGATGGACATGATGGACACAGAGTATATGGACAATGTGGAGTTGTCATTTTGATGTTTATCTATTATTAGGGATTTGGGAGTGAATGGCTAGTTTTTTAGGGGTTTATTTTCAAAAAAAAAGGGGGTCGAAGTTTTATAAAATAGTATTTGTTTTGATTAATTTTAGTTTATCACTCGTTAGTTTGTTGGTTTATCACTGACAAAATTTAGTTCATCATTAGTTAATTTGATGATTTACAACTGACTAATCAATATCTGTTATAAATAATTTTATGAGACATTAATGAGTATGTTCCTAAATGTTATAGTTAATCTAATGATGCTTGCTTTGAGTTTTATAATATATTATGAGATTTTTTTAATTTTTCTTTCTTAATGAGTAAATGAGTAGGGTATGAGAATAGTTTTCTCAGTGGAGATTCTCTGACCCCGATCTTAGACAAATTTAGAAGCGGGTATAGGGAACAAAATAGGAGTAGGGTAATGGGGTGGCGGGAGCATAGCCGCCCCCGTCCCGCCCATTCTCACCCCTAGGGTTGACCAAGCCTCTCCATGGTGTGGTGTGGAGATTTGGCCCGGCCCGTGACATTAGATAGACTGTTTAAATGAAAGGATTTCATGATTGCAAATTACTTGAACTTTTTTAACTAAACTAGGTAGGCAATCTCTGGAAATTTTATATGCAAAAACAGGCAATTGGCTAAGAGCATCACCTTAATTTACATTGTCATTGTTAGTTTACCAATCCATCTCAGAAGCTTAAGCTATTAGGAGGTTGGCCAACAATAGTTTTATTCTTTAACACTCCCCCTCACGTGTGCACTAAATAATGAGCAATCATATGGGTAAATTAATTGAAAAGCCCCACGTAAATATTTAAGCCCGATATATATTAAAAACCCAACATGTGTGTCAATTTAAAAGAGAATAAAGAGTATAATTACAGAAATTTAAACTCAGAATCTCTCGCTCTGAGACCATGTTAGTTTACTAATACATCCTAAAAATTTAAGTTGTTAAGAAATAAGCCAACAATAATTTTAAAATTTAACAACCATACGTAAAGAAAACTAATTTAGAACCACCACAAAGTTTAAGGAGTTAAAATGCCGAGCTAAGAGAGAGATGAACAAAACAAAAGATAAATGGAGGATAAAAAACAAGAATAAAAAATAACAATAAATATAAATGATGGCAATAAGTTTTATCGATGGAAAACTAGTTGGTATAGGAATTATATATGTATGTATACATACATATATACATATATATATATATATGTATATATATATATGGTCGCTTGCGCTAATAGCTGGATCCTTATTTCACTTTTTTCTCAAAATGAAACATATATATATATATATATATATATTATATGTTCCTGAAATATAAAATTATTAAAAGCTGATATATAATTGATCTGTGTGAAAAAAAAAAAGAAAAAAAGAACTGGTTCATACTTACGTTCGTCAGGATCCAGTGGAGGATTATCAGAAGTACATGTAAGGAGTCCAAAGCAACTCCACAAAACGAAACAGAGAAGATACGGCCACTTGGTAAAGATCAACATATTTGGAACTTGTTTTTCGTGGATTATAAGCTGATTGAACAAGCCACGCATGAAGAGAATTTCAGTCTATTTATGCTCTAAGTAGCTAGCGCTGCTTCCTTGTGTGTGTGTGTAATCCATCTTTATATATATAAGTGTGAATAATATTGCACGGTTTGACCAAAAAGGGATTTCAATACTTTGGTCTAAACTCCCCCTTACCTTTTTTTTTTAGTCCTTTGTTTTATTTTTTTTTCTTTTTATATTTTGTCTTAAAAAATTATCTATTCTTCATGTTTTGATCAAAACCGTAACCCCCCGCCCCCTCTTTTTTTAGTCCTATATTTTTTTTTTACTTTTTGCCCAAAAAATTATTTATTTCTCTATTTTAGTCCTCTTTTTTCTTTTTTTTTTAATTTTTACCTTGAAACTTTTTTTTTTGTTTTTGTTCATTTTATTCTAAAACTTATTTATTTATTCATTTTGGTCTTGTTTTTGTTTCTTCCCTTTTTGATCGAAACCATACACGCCCTCACCATTTTTTTAGTCCTGTAATTTTTTTTTTTTTTGCTTTTTCCCTAAAATTTTTTTTTTCTGTATTATTTATTTCTTTATTACGGCATGTATTTCTCTACGCCTTGTTATTAGTAATTATTATTTTTTAATGGTGCATTCTCTCTAATATTTTTTTTTCTATTGAGTGATTTTAAAATATATTTTTTCCCTTACTTTACTCTTATTAACATAATTTATTTTTTATGTGCCTGTGCTTAAACTTTTTTGTTTGTTTGTTTACTTTTGTACTATTTAATTTTTTTTTTCTTTGTAATCCTCGTTATTTTAATGGCGATAATTATAGAGATTTTTGTGTTTGGTTGTGTATTAATTAAGCTAACTAAGATCTTTATTATTAAGTAAATTAAAAATAATAATAACATAATAATTAAAATTCAACACACGCGAATTACTCCTCACGCGTGTAGCATTTGGAGCTCAACTAATTTATATATAACGATAATTTCTAGCCACCAAAATTGAATACGGAGAAATATCGTAGACACGATTTGAACACGTAGCTCTCAAAACCAACGCTCATAATTAATTAATGGGCTAGGACCGTGCAAATTAGTACATGATGATATTTACGTACGTCAAGTTGTCAACTAACCAATAATACGGTTGTGAAAATTAATGCATAAATTAATAATTTGAGAAGTCCACATAAAAAACTCGAGCAGTTTGATTTTGAAAAGTCTGTATATGTGAAGCGGACATGTTGCGTAGTCAGTTGGTGTTGAATTGCGTCTTCATTCATGCAGGAATGGAGGAGCTGTACTGTGATCGAAACTAATGTGAAGTGATCATTTTAGTCTCGTTTATTTTATTAATTTAAATTTTTATAATTAAATTTTTTTAAAAAATATTATATTTATTTTTTTATTATAATTAAAAAAAAATTTTAAAAAAAATTACATTTTAATTTAAATTAAAAATTTAAATTTATAAAATAAATGAGGACTTCGTTGGTCTTTCCGGATTTTTGGCTTAGTTTTCCTACCTTGTTTCGTGTTTTGGATCGTCTTCAAAATTTGTTGGTTAATAAAAAATATATAATAATTAATGAGATTAAATTTCAATTATGACACGTGGTTAAATTTTATATTTAGTGTGAACATATATTGGGTTGAGGGAATGTAATGCTTATTTACTCTGGGTTTCAAACATACCAACGCCCACCATGTACTTTTCAAAAAAGCAGAAACGCAGAGAAAGAATCGTGCACGTCGTTAATTTATAATTTAGTTTATTAAGAAAATTCGGTTTATTTGGACTAATAAAAACAAGGATAGGTATAAAAATTAATCTATTCAAAATGAATTATTCAGTACACTAAAGACCCGTTTAGTTCGTTGATTTGAGTTTTTAATTTGAGTTGAGATGTGATTTTATGTGAGAGCTTTTTACTGTAGTAAAAAAGTTAGATGTGATTATTTGTGAGAACTTTTTACTGTAGCAAAACTCAAATTCTAAACTCGAATCAACGAAATAAACGGGACCTAAGTGTATCACGTAATTTTATTAACGTGGTACACCCGTCTAATAAATTATTGATATTTGTATAATTTTATCCATATCAATCTACTTTAATGATCTTTTTTTTAATGTTCTTTTTCTTTTTCTTTTTTTTTTTTTAACTTTTGTTGTTTAGTTATAATTGTCATAAATACTCCACCAAATCTTCAATGTTAATTAAATTTAAATAATAATATTCTTAATTATTTATGAACATTGTTTCTACGCTTGAATTTAGGAAACCTATTACCTTAAAGTTCATTTTCTTTTAAGTTTTTTTTATTATAGAAAAAAGGAACACTGTGGACGTTTGGTTGGATGATTCAAATCATGTGATTCGAATTATTTTCGATTTACGTGAATTTTTTGTGAGAGAAAATACTGTAACAAACCATGAATCATGATTCGAATCAGGAAACGAATCCCTCCACCAAACATAATTTGGCAGAACGTGGATTGAAAAGAAAAACAAAAGGTAACCATGAGAAGCACCCTGCTCCAATAGATGAGCAACGAGTAATAGAGTGACCCATCCCTTTTTTTTTTTCAACTACGCAAAATGATACTGACGGACTTTTTTATAGAAAATATTGGATGACATTTTAATTATAGTAAAATTAACGTAAACCAGCTAATATATTAGATTTGCATTTTTCAAACTTTTTTAATATCAAATATTTTTTGCCCTTCAAAAAAATTATTTTTGATATAAATATGCGAATTGATGGTTTTAATACTAATGTACTTATCTTGTGTAATATGTTGAGCAAAATAACGTAAAATACGTTAAATACTTATCTTGGTATACCAAATAAATAAAATTAAATGATACACTCAATTTACTGAATAATTTCTCGTAAATACGTGTTTGCTGTGCTGAAAATGTTTTTGATTGCAAGTTGTCAGTTTGACAGTTCCGTGTTCTAGAAATTCATACAGCAAATTAATTCCCCGTCTAAGATGTCCAAAAAAAAAAAAAAAAAAACACGACAAATTGTGCCTGGTTCAAAATAACGGAATTATAAAATCGTTTTGCTTCAGTTCTGAACGCAATGTAAGGTTCCGCAACATTTTTCTTTCATGGATTATAAATTAATATCATGCTTTTGGTTCATTTTCATGTTTACCACGCAACGTGGTTTATTTACATTGAGGATGCTATAAATGAGTACAACAATGATACAAGGAATTCCTTTGTGTAATCGGTTTCATGTCATTTTTTTCCCTTTACCCTACAATTTCTTGATTTATAATATTGCTGAAAGTAGGACATAAGATTACAAGACACCACAGTGACAATGACAGTAACGTTGAAAAATATTTTTTGAATAAGTACTCGAGCCCCTACTTTCATCGTACTAATTATGTTCAAGAAGTATGTACAAATAATTGATCTGAAATATAAGGCAAAGGCAAACAAAAACTCTTCTTACAAGTCACATTCTACTCTCCTACTACAACAACAAAAGTGGGAAAATAATAATAATAATAATAATAATAAATAATTATAGTACAGAATTAAGTAACCCGGGGTGACAATAAGGACAGCTCTCAGGGTGGTGAAGAAGACGTGGACTGTGTGTTTATTTCATACAAACCAGGAAAGGAAGAGGAGAATGTATGAGCGGCAGTCGAATTCCGGGTCTGGCTTCCACTAAAACTCTGATCTTTCCTCTGCTTGTGGAGGTCTTTCATGGCCTTGAATCTCAAATCTCCAGCACTGCCGATATTTTGTTCCGGGATCACCTCTGGAACAGCCGTTCTTTCTTCGAGCATGCTTACCACTTCGGACATTGTTGGCCGAAGAGAAGCGGACAAGCTTGTGCAGAGAAGTGCGACTTTAATCATGATTTCTGCTTGTTTTTTGTCTACCTCAGTGCCTAAGTTCTCGTCAACCAGTTCCATAAAGTTTCCAGATTGTTGTAAATGGCAGGCCTGCAATATTAACTTATTTTCTCAATATCAACCGTAGGAGTTACATTGTTTGTCATGCAATAATTTCTTCCTCAATAACTATTTGACAATGAAAATGATATGCAGGGATATGAAGTTGATCAAGTACCCAGTCTAGAAGACAAACGTAATCATCGCTCGGCATATAGTTGTTATTGTTCTTGCCACTGACAATCTCCAAGGTCACAACTCCAAAACTGTAAACATCTGCTTTGTAGGTGAGGTGACCCCATAGCGCATATTCCGGCGCCATATATCCTCTGCAAATCACGAGTCAAGTTTCATGAGATCTTAATTTTGCCAAAAATTTGGGATTGGTTCTAAATGTGAAGCCATCTTATATAAATATGGCAATGGAGATAAAAAGGCATGAAAACTAACATGGTCCCAGCAATTCGGGTGCTGATGTGAGTCTTCTCCTCTTCATCAAGCCTCGCCAACCCGAAATCAGATATTTTAGGATTTAAGTCAGCATCCAGCAGCACGTTAGTAGCTTTTATGTCTCTGTGAACAATTTTTAGTCTGGATTCTTCATGAAGAAAAGCTAGACCTCTTGCTATTCCGATACAAATCTTGTGCCTTGTTGGCCAATCCAATCGAAGCTGATTTCCTCGACCTATGAATGATGCAATAAGTACAATCTTAAAGGACCCAATTACTGAAAGAGTAGAAATAACCCAAATCCTCTAACACAACTCAAAATCTTGTTCTTATCTTGTCATAGAACATGACTAACTCCAGGGTTAATTTCAAATTTGGTACCTGAATTATAACTGTTGTCTCAATTTGCACGCTAGTACGCTACAACTTAAAATGCCACAAAACTGTCCCCGGAGCTTATGATAGTTATAATTTTGCTAATTTCGGCACTGTGGCGTCAATTTTTTAACAAAGTTAATCGTATGTCATCACGTGACTAGTTTATAAAGGGCAATAACTAAATTTAAACAAAATAACTTAAGAGATTTTGAGAAATTAGGAGAAAAAATCACAAATTCTTCAACACCCTAACCCTAAGTGTCGCTTCTTCCTTCGCTCGCAACAACTGCTTCGCACACCCCCTCCTATTGCCTTTCACCAACGACTCACATGACCCCACACGCACTTAAAACCGTTAGAAAAATGTAGTTTTATTGACAGAAGTACCAAAGTTTCAATTTACGATAAGTTAAGAGGGCAGTTTTGTACCATTTGAAATTGTATGAGACAAAGTGAGACAATCCCTACTCTTTGAAGGCCAAATTTGAAATGAACCTGAACTCTATTTGAATTGAGTTTCAAAATTTTATGTGGTCTAGTACAGGCCATCAAACTCACCAAATAAAGCACGTGCAAGGCTATTATTTTCCATGTACTCATAAACTAGCATCAACTGATCTGCTTCAATGCAACATCCATGAAGTTTCACAAGATTAGGATGCTGCACACAAGAGATCATGCCTATCTCGTTCAAGAATTCACGGTTTCCCTGCCTTGATTGAGATGAGAGCTGCTTAACTGCAATAGCCGTCCCATCAGGTAGTTGACCCTGCACTCCAACCCATGATCAGAATTAGATATCCGAAATGAATTGAGGAAAGTATAAAAAGACAAATGTTTCACAAAAAATTACCTTGTACACAGGCCCAAAACCACCCTCTCCAATCTTATTGTCATAGTCAAAGTCATCAGTGGCAGCTTTTATTTGTTTTAAGGTAAAAGTTCCTGTCTGCATTTCTAGCCCTTTAAAATCTGTCCAAGGTGGCACAAAGGAAGAACTAAATCAAGGATCTCGTTAGAATTCTTTTTAACTTATTGCTTTACAGTGCTCATATGCCACACAAATTTATCAGCATGATGATCTCACCCCAAAAGGGCTATCCAATCAATATGCAGACGAAATATTCACTCTTAGTTTTAAATTTATGCGTGTTCAGTTCTTGAAATTTAGATTGTGGAACAAATAATTAAAGATCAATAAACCATGCATGAATTTAAGCAATCATTGGGGATCAATTAGTTGGAATAACATTTTTATGTAACTGCACCTTGTTTTCTCGTGTTTATTCCTTTGAAGCAGCCTTTCCAGCAAAGAATTCCTAGGATGAGAAAGAACGGGCAGAGTGATCCTACTACAACGCCGATGATTATATGACTTGTTTCCTTCTTTCCACCATTTGAGCATTTCTTGGACTCTGCCAAAAGCGCAAATTAAACAGGTCAAGCATACAAGAGCAAGAGCATAGGCTAAATATGGCCGATCACAGTTTCATTTGATAACCTCTCAATCCCCTATCACACCCTTTACCATAATAACCAACACCTACTTAATAGTTACGACCAGATGACAAGACTTAAACGTGTGAAACATAGGAAGATATGCTAATATCTATAGTATATGACTAAAAAGAAAAAGAAAAAAAAAAGACTGCTCACAAAGTGTAATCATCTGCTGGGACACAGCAAAAAGACTTGCTGTTCTTTTGATCTGGGTATTATCATGTTACATGCTGTGCAGCCAATAGTTGGTCAATTAATTAACAAGAAAATACTATTGTCGGCGTTAAATTTATAGACCTTTATGTTAAAAGCACATCCATAGAAGTTAGAACTTGTAATGTGGGATTAGGAAGAATCATATCCATAAGAATGACTCACCGGAAATCACAGAAACGGCTGATATAAGAGGCCCATACACTCCTCTTGTAGGAATCCTCGTTGTACCTTTGCCGGTAAATAATAATCTGATCTCCAATGCATTATTTGTCACAGTGACGTTATGCAATTTTAGTACTAGTGCCTTTTGTGCCATTCCGGCCTCATCTTCAATGTTAAAATCCTCGCGCACTAATCTTTCCTGCAACAATTGTTGCTCCGTGTTCAGATTACACAAAATTTGAACCTGAAATGTCTATAATTTCAAGATTATGTTATGCACCTGAAGATAGATATCAAAAAAGCGCCTCCCAAGACTCTTATATGTTTGATCATTTGTAAACTGTATCTCTGCAAAGTGGAGGTTCACTGAATAATTTCCATTTTCTAAGCAACGGTGAAAATAAGTGAGTGAAATTGGAGATATCCGCGCCGTTCTATATAAATCAGAGAGATTCGATGACGTTAGAGTAGCAACATAGCGTGTATTTTGGTAATCATTATCATCCATGAAGTCTCCAGTACTACTGAATCCCCAATAACTCCCTTGATTTAGAAAATATTTTGCGGTGCCACCTTCAACTTCTCCATCTCCTTCATAGACAACTTCTTTGTTGTTTTCCTTGATGGAAGAAGCCACTCCGCCACTATTAACATGCCAACAAGTTGAATCTGCCTTAAAAGAAATACAACGAGATTACATAAGGAAGAAACCTTGAGTAATATACCAATGACCATGCAACATTTTGACTAATAAGTAAATAGACCCCAAACTTTTTGCAGTTTACATTTCTTCAATTGCAAAATATTCTCTGAAGCAAAGGTCAGAATGCTTCAAGCAGTATTTATTGAACTAACCAAAACCATTGAAATGCATTTTCTCGTATATGAATGTCCTCTCAGTTTTTCATGAAAGTTTAAAAAAAATAATAATAATAAATATAACTATAAAAAAAAAAAAATCAAGAATACTTCCAATGAGACTTTGAAAGTATGCATCATAAGACTGTAATGTTATGAACATGTAAGCATTTCCTTACATCGTGGGCATTCAAGATCCTTCAAGCATGGAAGAGCTCTTCTGAGATAGTGAAAAAGAAAAATCTATTAGTCTCAAAATATATACCAAGCACTTGTTGAAAATTGACCCCATTGAGCCTCAGCATCCTTGGAGGAACCTTGGAAACAATGAGACCATAAAAGAAACTCACAAAAATTAAGAGAAAGAGCATCTTACAAGTTATCTTCTGTCGAAGAGCTATGATACAAATTGAGGTTTAGATTCCTAAGTAAGACATGAAATGACGATTAGTTCAAAACCCATATGCAGATTCATCTTCAAATACAACAAATGATTGTATCAAAATAAAATACTGACATGCTACCCTGACAAGTACGTTGCTCAGGTCCCTGCCATGTGAAGTTATTGTATGAAAGGTCGCTGTATGGAACCATACATGTTAAATGTTATCTATTAGAACAGGAAAAAAAAATGATATAGTAGCATAACGCATATTAATTCAATATTGGCCAGAAAAATGATGTCGGTGGGAATAAAAGGTAACGCATATATACTTAAAGCAAAAGAATAATAATTTGAAATACATCAAAAGAAATATAGACAAGAAACATACATACTGGTTCCATCCCTCAAGAGTGAATCAGGAATGTTTCCACTTAGCATATTGCCGGTCAAAAAGCTAACAAAAAGCAACACCTAATTGTAGTTAGATTCTAGAAAATCTGAAGTAGAAGACAAAACACTAAACAAATGAAGCACAAAACGCAAGGTATAAATGCAAGCAATAAACTTGAGTGGATGCATGAATAGTTTGTAATGCCAAATCATATTTATTATGCGATCAGAAAACATGGCACTTACAGGAATTGCATACGCTCCAAGTCTGATGTCTCAGGAATTTCACCAACTAACTTGTTATAACTGAAATCCCTGTTAATGACAGATCCAAATTGCATAGAATTAAAATCTTCCTAATTTAAAGATTATACTCGGTAATATATCATTCAATTTGCATGTTGAAGACAGTTTTACTCTGGAAAAGAAACTTTGTAATAACATGAACTACATCATCTAACATCTTCTAAACCCAACAAGAAGCAAAACAGAATAATAAGAGAGTAAAACAACAGGGATAAACAATAGCAACATCATTCTCGTACAGGCTCATTAAAACTTCAATAGTTTGAACAACATGCTTTAATGAGACTATAAGGAGAGCCAAAAAGATAAGGAGCTTGCATGGTGTTATACGTATATATCCATGACGTATAAATTAAAATCTGGAAAAATTGCGCGCATCAGATCTTAGATTTTACTCACACTGTATCCTGATTCTTCATTGTCCAGAAGTATGATGGGATCTCTCCAGAAATGTTGCAGTTCCTCAAGACCCTAAAGTTTACAACTAAATTGCATTATATAAACCACAAATGAATGTGGATGGCATAAAATCACTCTTCTTGATATTTGATTATATGAACCCTGAACATACAATCTTGTCAAGCTTCCCATGCTTCTTATCATCGGAAAGTTCTGCCCTGGAGAACGCATATCGCTAATCCGCCTACATTCAAAGATAGAATATGACCCCATAAGAGGAAAAGGGAAACACTAGATTTGACAAACAGATAAAAAGAATGTATAAAGCTTGTAACTGAAATGAATAAATTTTTTTAGAAAAATAATTAAAAAAAATATGTTTTACTCACAAATCTTCCAACTTGGTCAACTGAGATATATTTAACGGGAGGGGTCCCTCAAGTCCACTTGCTTCCATGTTTCTGCAACATTGAACACCACCAAAAGAATTAAGCATAAATATAAATAACTTAAAACAAATATACTTCACTAGAAAAATGTTGGAAAAGAAACTAAAGATCTTACAATCTTTGCAGTTGTTTCCAATTCTGTACAAAATCAGGTATGCTTCCGCTGAAGTTATTATCACTCATCCTCCTGCATTGGACAACAAATGCACATACTAGATAAGTGTACTAACCAGAGGCCTTAAAGGTGCTGAGATATGATAAGTACTAACAAATCTGTCAGATTTTCTAGATCAGCAAATGTCGTTGGCAAGTTTCCAGTGAACTGATTCGAGGATAGCAACCTGCGATTAAAATACCAAAGCCACTGAATAACATTCATTTTATCCTTTAGAATATGTTGACTGTTGACTGTATAAAAAAATAAAAAATAAAAAGAGGAAGAAGAAGTTGAAAGGAGAAAATTTTCATACAAACTTTGCAGGTTGGGCAATCTCCCTAGCTCAGGAGGAATAGTTCCAGAGAATTGGTTTGCATCCAGACATCTGATTGATTATTTACAGGAAAAAATTATCAAAGTGACAAATGATACGATTATGGAACATGGAAATGAAAATTTCTCGATCAGCAGATGGAAAAATGTCAGCATTTCACAGATCATTTAAGAGAGAGAGAGAGAGAGAGAGAGAGAGAGAACAAGCTAGTTTTATGACTCACAATGACCTCAATCAACATTACAACTAATTTCCATAGGTTGAAAGATGCAAATAACGGAGCAAAAGGAAAGTTAAGAACTTACACGTATGTGAGGGTAGTAATATTGCTCAACTCCTTTGGAATTTCTCCGGATAAGCGGTTAACAAGGATAGAGCTGCAAATTATATTGGTTCACTTGCAATGGAACAATTAAATCAAACTATAACAGAGGAAAGGATGAAAGAGCTTACATGTTAGTCAATTTCGTCAAACCCCATTCACGTGGTATCGTACCATTCAGGTAGTTAAAACCAAAATCGCTGAGCAAAGAGGAAAAGAGAAAAGAGTACATAACTTAAAGATAAATAATAATTGAAGAAAAATAGACAACAAAAATTAAAATGCAATTCCAACTGTTCGTACATTTCTTTGAGGTAAGGAAGTTTACTCAATTGAGGTGGAAGCTTGCCAGGTAGACTATAACCCTTGAGTACTCTGTCAAAGATGGGATTTTGATACTTTTAACATTAGGAAGAGGGCAATATATTACATACTTCACAATGAATATACTCTGTATTGAAATGAATTTGTGGCGGCCTTCATTCACAATTATAGAATACTCTCATATTGTAGCAAGACTAAAACAAACTATACTCTCATTCCTAATATCTCATGACTATCACTAACGCATTTTAGAGCAAATCTATATCAAAACTAATGTATCATCATCAAAAATTGTATGAATTGACATAACTTGCACTTACTGGATGTAACACCTCAACCCCCCTTGGGGTCCACCTTGCGGGACTCTCGGCATAGTCAGGTTTTATACTCGTTACTCATACGTACTGTCCCCTCTGGGCACTTAGCAACCCTCAGGGATTTCTTCACGTCCCCCAACAGTTGAACCCAAGACCTCCCTCCTTATAAGGTTCTTCAGTCAAGTATTGGTATGAGTAACGAGTACAAGACCCGACTATGCCGGAGTCCCGCAAGGCGGACCCCGTGGGGGGTTGAGGCGTTACACTGGACATGAAACTATGCAGAGTCTGTCTAAATTTACATGAGATATGGAAAGATAACAAGAGTTCATTCATTGCACGCCAATATCTAACCAGTATAAACTGATACAGAAATTTCACGCATAGCAAAAACCTCAACAATATGTAGATTATGTATAACTCATCAATGTAATATTATGTCGTAAACAATGAAGGAACAGTACATGCTTAAAACATGACAGACGGTATTGTTCTCGAAGGTGCAATCACAACCAATGTTACCCTCAGATCCCTGGGGTGGCTCTCTTGTTAGTCCAACCGCTATAATGTCGCAAGTGGTGGCATTAAACTCCCAAAATGTTGAACCCATTGTACTAGTTATTTGAGCAAGAGCGTCAACTATTCATAATCATTAAACCAAAAAAGCTACATTAGATGACAAAGTCGTATAACATGAATAACTCAACATATAAAAGAAAATATATATAGCGAATACATCAACAACGAGAATTACTATGTGTACTAGTAAATATATGTTTGTTCATCAATTCTCTTAAAAGCTTAAACAAATAAAGAGGTGGTCCAACACTGGCAATGTATCTAAACCGCCACCTCTGACAAAGTGCAAGTCTCAGAGAAAGCAAAGGAAGCCACCTAGACTAGTGAATTATGTTGGTTTGTTATTTCTCTCAAAAGCTTAAGCTTGATAGGAAGTGGTCCAAAATCTGTTTTTATACTCTAATACTCCCAATCCCTTTGTGGGCTTGAACAATGCCCAAATTCCAAAACAAGGAAAGTGAAATGTGAATTCAAACTATAAGGAATGCAAAAAGGATGTAAATTCACACAGCCCAACGTGTAATAAGTTAGAGAGTACGATTCTGGAGGCACGAATTCCGAACCACCGGAAATTCTCCTAAAAACTTAAGCTACTAGGAAACGACCCATCATCAATAAAACTAATCAACATGATTGCCTACAATTTTGAAACCAGAAGTTACAAATCCACATAATAGGTTATTGTGAGTGTTTGAAAAGTCATACTCATCAATATTACAAAGGGCAGCCCAAACAAAAAAGAGCAGGTCATTTCCTAAGTAACAAAAATACTAGATGGGCGATTGGCCCACTTAGAGCATATTACAACTGCGTTTTGTGAAGAAGTGTAACTGCAGAATCTCAGGAACCCATTCTACACGTATTAGCATATCTTTTCTTTCTTTTTCCTTCTTTAAAGGACATCTTCTTACCAAGTGATTGATACTCAAAACCTAATAATTATGCATCCAAACGTGAATCACAAATCTGGTCTACTTTCTACTAACTTTAGAGCAAGCTGCTCTGATGTCTTATGAGATTACTTACCAATTGTGAAAAAGAATTACATTTCCACTTCAGAGTTACTAAAAGCCTAATGTGAAAACACTAAAATTGGCAATCCAAACATAATTAGAGTCCTGAGGAGAATAATATTTTCATAGTTATATATAGTTCAAATATACGCCATATGAGTACGTGTGACCACTAACTTTAAACTTGACCGACATAAATTCGGGCCAAAATAAATACACGGTATAAGCAAAATAAATTAGCCATTGATTACTTTGAACAACAACCCAAGTTCAGAGTTCTCCCACACACACACACACACACACACACACACAAAAAAAACAAGCGTTTTCTTTTCTTTACCACCGCACTATAAACGACAAAAAAAAAAAAAAAACAAGCGTTTTCTTTTCTTTACCACCGCACTATAAACGACAAAAGAAGGTCTCACCTTCATCTTGGGGAAGCTTGGACTCGCAAAATCTCAGTAACCCGAAACAGGCCATTGCAAGAATGAAGAAAACAACAAGATTGTTGGCCGCCATGGCAAAAAGATTGAAGCTTTTGAGTACAAAATGTTAGCTTTTCTGAGAGAAGCCAGAAGAAAACTGGATACCAAAGCTATAATAAAAAATATTTTAAAAAATGTACTTTCTAGTATACGGTGAATCTTCACAACAATACCCAATAGCTGGTTAGAGCTAAGCAGTTGGTTTGCAAGGTCACTGTAATTGTACACAATTTGACCTTTGAATAATAATATTCAATAAACCCAGATGCGGAAATTGTCTATTCACCTGGAACACATGCTTCTCCTTTTTATTTATTTATTATTGTTATTTTTTAATGTATTAGTGGCGATGAGTTGTCGAGTAATTTTCTATTGTATTTGGTAGTTTTTATTAGAATATGACTTGAGATTTGAGATTGGATCACATCCTTATCGCTTAATGTCGATTTGTGAATTTTTTATTTTTTTACTTGGAAAATGTTTGTCAAAGATTGAATCACATCCTGGAAAGTCGTACGATGGGTATGATTCCAAAACTTTGTTATAATTAAGCTCGTGATTAAAAAAATTGTACTTGAGACATCGCAGCTGGTCCAAATGCCTTATGTCACGACTTAGGTTGAATTTAACCTTCTTTTTCGTCATGTAAAGAAATCTACGTTCCCACGCGTAAAGAAAATAAGGGTCCGTTTAGTTCGTTGATTCAAGTTTTTAATTCGAGTTGAGATGTAATTTTATGTGAGAGTTTTTTACTCTAGCAAAAAAATTAGATGTGACTGTTTCTAAAAGCTTTTTACTGTAGCAAAACTCGAATTTTAAACTCAAATCGGTGAAATGAACGGGGCCTAACATATTAATGCCTCGTTTAAATTACCGATTTTAATTTTTAATTTTAATTTTGTTATAGATAAAAATTTTCACAAAAAGTTATATCTAATTTTTTCTGTTACAATTAAAAATTCTCCCATGAAGTTACATATCATCTCAAATTGAAAATTTAAATCGGCGAACTGAATAAAGCCTAATGTAATTTACATTAGCATGGCTTTTTTTTATCATTTTTTCCTCATAACTAAAAACTAAACGAGGTATTCTTTTTCCAAAATAAAAAAATAAAAAAAAAAACTAAACTAGGTATTCGGGATATTATCACTGAACTTACTAAGAGGTGAAAGTTCGACCCTTTTGGTCCTAGCCTAACAGTCCGAAGAGGATTTTTGAGTCGGCCTGACTTTTACCGTAAAAGGAGGAAAGAAGGCTCAGTCTGGTCCTCAAGCCTGACAGTCCAAGGTTGGGCCGACTCAATTGAACATTTTAAGGGTAATTTTAAAGAAATAATAATTCAAAGAAAATAACTTTGAGCTAGGCTGTCTCAGACTAAAAATACTTTGGAGCCTACTAGTTAAGTCATGTGTTACACACATGAAATAACTTTGTCAGTTTGATTCTATATTAAAATAGGTGACATTCTTTAAAAGCTAAGTACATTAATTGAAGTAAAGGAGAAAAAAAGTATTTAAAAAAGTCACATAAATAAAAATTAAAGTTATTCAGGTATTTTTTCTAAAAAAATATTAAATAGTGATGTATTTAAAAGGAATTATTTTAATTACGAAAAAGATAAGAAACAGATTAGTAAGAAAAAGTAAAGAAAAAAAATAAGAAATAAAAACAAAAGTGTAAAAAAGAGAAGTTAACATAAAATAAAAGAGTAAAAATGAGATATTGACATGTGGCTAAAAGAGAAACTAACTTTTTTTTTTTTTTTTTGCTCTTTTATACATGTTTAGATAAGTTCGAAACTATAATACAGATCTGAATGAAGTTTCCCTTAAAACAAAGTAATGAGACTACAATTTAATAAGACTCCCTTACAAAGTCTCAATAATGAGTATGCACATTAAATAAATAAATAAATAACTCATGTGATTGGGTGCATAAATGTGTCCATGTGTTAATTAAAGTTAGAATCATAGTAATTTTATTCTTTTTTTAATATAATAAACGTCATAGACCTCATACTATATAAATAAAAAAAATAAAAATAAAAACTCATCATATTTCTCTATGGGTAATTTTCTTACTTTTGCATTGCGATGAGAGTAAATTTATTGGGAGATAACGATAACATTCATAATTGTTTATTCTTTCCACTTGAGGACTGCATGCATAACGTAGCGCTCAATCAATATTTTTGTTTACCAATTAAGGTTAACTCACTTGGTATTTAATAGATGTATGAGTTTTTTCTAATGTGTCGAGCTCTGAATTTAAGTACTAAAGAATGTAAATAGATTAAAAAAATCCACATTCCTCTTTTATTGTTGTGAGCTAAAATTTAAATTTCCTGGGTCTAATAAAAAATGGAGACATTCTCTGATACGTTAATATATTGGTATATCAGGTTTTTTGCCTATTAAATCTGCATAAAAGCGCGTAAAAGTAAAAAAAAATATGCAAGTTCAACGGTTAAAAAAATTTAACCTACTGTTACGTTAGGCGTGCTAAAGAATCTCCCCAAAAAATTATGTAAAAAGAATATCAAGGAACAAGGTTTTTCATGATAGTGGGCCTTATTTGTTATGCCTTATATGAAGCACGATTACAAAGAATTCCCTGGGCTAATAAAAAATGGAGACATTCTCTGATACGTTAATATATTGGTATGTCAGGTTTTTTGTCTATTAAATCTGCATAAAAACGCGTAAAAAAAAAAAATATGCAGGTTCAACGGTTAAAAAAATTTAACCTACTATTACGTTAGGCGTGCTAAAGAATCTCTCCAAAAAATTATGTAAAAAGAATATCAAGGAACAAGGTTTTCCATGATAGTGGGCCTTATTTGTTATGCCTTATATGAAGCACGATTACAAATCAAATTGTGTACGGTTACTTATATGAATATCAAAGAATTTGTTTCGCCAAAATTAAAAATATAAGATCAAATTGACACCTAATAAATAGTTTAAGAACTATATGTGTTAATTATCCTATTTGTTAAGAAAAAGTATGCTGTAATAAATATTGACAACTTATCAGTACACATCACATATATATATATATATATATATTCTTTAGTCAAAAAGTATAAGCCATAAGGTTAATTAGGCGGCGACTGACACTTTTAATTGCTAATGCATGTTTTAACTTTTATCTAGACTCTATTCCGAGAACAAACATTGGTCATGTCTCATTCGGCTTTGATTGCAAAATTCTAAACGCTTTTGATTTATCTCGTGTTATGAGCAAACTATAAAATTAATTAATTTTTTTTTTCCTATTCAACGCTTGGGTGCATAAATATTTGCCCACACTTTATAGAAAGAAAAAGGTTTCCCACCGGTATTGAAGAGTATAACACACACAAATACAGATATATATATATATATGTATATGTATTTGTGTGTGTATATATATATATTATCAGATATCACATATTTGATCAATCACAAATCCAAGCCATAATTGTGTGTGAGAGAGAGAGAGATTTATCACTCAACTTCATGATCTTCAAATAAGGGTTTTTTTTTTTTTTTTTTTTTTTTTTGTTTCCTTTTGGGTAGAAAATGATTTTCAAATAAGTTGCATGAACAAACCTACGTATATGAGTACGTAACGCTATTGGATATAAGCTACATATGCTTTTGACCAATAAATATCATGAGGCTCGACTTTTCTTCTGCATTGTTTAATAGTTAAAGCGACACTTTATCTAACATTCATGCAGACAAAAGTTCAACGTTCAACGGGAACAATATATATATATATATATATGCGATAAGCAAAGTAATTAGCTATTATTATTATGTTATTTTTTGCAATTAAGTCAATTTCTCATTACTATAGTTTATAGTCATAAATGGCAGCTGAACAAAACATTGGGCAGACGTTACGTGGGGCCGGAATTAATATTATCCCATCCTTAATTTCCTACGATACATGAATTAAACTTTCGTGTGTGACCAAAAATACACACATATATAGTACTCTGACCAATAATCTTTCGGTTTTTCTCCTGTGAATCCTCTACCGTATTCTTGAATTAAATAAAAAAAATTATAATATATGTCCTTTCGTATTTACGTGTTAATATATATATATATATATATATATTGGGTGGAAGAACAATGCATGTTAATGTTACACAGTGGACAGAAAAGGGAAAACGAAAATATAACTGTAATCTATTTAAGTAACTGCACAAGAACGTCCTTAGTTTATTTCAAGTTACATAATTAATTATATAGCCACGTTCTTGTAGCATACATATACGCAATGGGAAAGTTGTTTAGAATTTTCAAATTACTTTTTTAAAGTTTGCATTTTGAATGCCCCATGCATGTGATGCGCACGCCATTGTTTTTTAAGTGTAATATTTATTCACTTCTTTTTCTTCCGCACACAGATACAGAAGAAAAAATTTATAGCCAGCCTGCGGAGCAGTGTCTGTGAGCTTTGTGATTTACTTCTTATATGTTTTGATGGTGTAATAAGTGAGAGATGAGAGTGAGAAACAAAGAGAATGATGAAAGAGGTGAAATAAAGAGAGAGATACAAAGTGCGTGTTTGAAAATGTTCGTAAAAACGGTTTTCACGTATTTCGATAAGCAAAAAATGAAAATGAAAACGAAACGATGTAATTTGTTTAGCAAATGTTTTGAAAACGAAAACAGTGAGAATGGTTTTTGTGAAAGAATTAAAAAATAGTTAAAAATTTTCACTTTTTTGTTTTATTTTTTAGTACTTATCAATAATATTATAATATATTAATTAATAAATATGATTTCATTTTTTTATTATACTCAAAACAATCTCTTAAAAAATCAATCAAATACAATTTCAGAATCGGTCCCATAATGATTCTCAAAACAATCTCATTTTTACTTTTTATTGAAAATAAAATCATTTTAAAACCAATTCTAAATGCACCCAAAGTGTAAGACCCAACAGGCAATAAAATACTCTTTGGTCAGCTTTAAACTATTCAGTAACACTCTGTTAGTACAATATATAACCAAAAATTACTATAGAAAATAAATATACACGAAAAGAAAAACGGGTACCCTAATAAGAATAGTCCAAACAAGATGTTGCACTTGTTCGTTCTAGTAAAT